AGCATTAATATTTAAAGAGTTATTGACGAAAAACGACAAAACAGTTTTTTGCAAATTACTCGTAAACTGTTGATGCTACCGAAGAATTTTTATATAGAAATTGTAGATCTCGTCATCCTCTACAAGAAAGGTCCTATGCAATTTTCCCGTATCTCCAATGGTTTTGAAGTTATTGGCCAAAAACGAAAATTTGGAAGAAATTTGAAGGGGTACCCCTTGGAAAAATCGAAAATTTTTTTTTTGTCGTTTATTATTTGCAATGTTCTTCCAACGTCTGATTTCTTTTTAAAAAATGCGTTTCTAAAGTGCATAAACTTTTGGGATTGACAGTATAGCCAATACATCCTTAAGATTTCTCCACACACGACGATTGTTTTCAAAACTGGCTTTACAGTAATTCCGATCGCGTTGCAGATATTACGATAAGTACGGACGCGTTACGTAAATCTGCGCACCGTGTAATCTACAATTTTTCATAATATCGGGCTTCCAGTTTGGCACGAAAACGGGCCAGTTCGCAATTTTTTCTTTGCCAAATTCGTTCTAAAGCGACCGCTCCGTATATTAATTATTACTTCGTTGAAATTGAACATTAGCGAGTCGAACGTTGGCCGGAAAAACGAGAAGACGTTATTTAGTCGTTGCATGCTCCAATTACAGAACGACGTAACGCGGAAATTTACAATGAAACCTTTCCCGTTCCGTGCCGCGATCACGGCGAATTAATTCCAGTCTCGAAGCATCATTTAAAAGATCGTAATACCCGTTGAAAATTTGTCCATGTGACTCATATCTAACGGGGCGTCGAGTCGCGATCCGAGGATAAATCGTTGACGACGGTACGATTGACGCTGATAATCCGATAGCTCGATGAAATTCTATTATGTAAAAACAAAACGCAATCCGCTTTCCAACGATACAACAAGCGGAACGGTACTTCTATCGTAATCATTAAACACGACTGATTCGATAAAGGCGATTATCGACACACCTTTATCAGTGTTATTTTAGCGAACGGCGCGTTCTACAAATGAACATTATTGAGAAAATATCCAATGATCCAGCTTTCGGCCGTTAAGCCCAATAGACCGCTTTAATTTTGCTGTCTAACTATACAGGGTGGTCCACGCAACGTGTGCACAGTTATCCAAAATATGCGATGCACGAAAGAATGTTATATACAAAAGTTACATGCTTATTAATTGCTACACGATTATAAAGGATATTATAAAAGAAGGTAATACTCGAGAAAATGATACGATATTATGTTGCAACGTCGAACCACAATGTCGAGTAGAAACTAAAAGTCACAGTATAATTTCACGTTGAAAGAGCAAACGTAATTATAGTAGCGAGTCGTAGTAGTAAATTTGAATTTGTAATTGGAGATTCTATGCAAAAACCTAAATGCCTTTACCCTACCCCAAAATACCCCGTGGTGCACTCTACCAGAGCCTCCCCTCCCACAATGTTCACGTTCTCACGTGTATTGAGCGATCCGGTATCCGGCACGCGGTGTAAAATAACGGCTTAGAATTCTAACTGCGATACATACTTCGTACCGATAGTTTATCAATGTAGACGCCGATAGGGCCGCTCTTGCCGTATCGACCTGTTCCTCGTAGCGAAGAAAATTTCACGAGAATTCGAACTTAAACTTTAAAGGCACGTCAAAGAAGAATAGCATGATCGACGGTCTCATGGAGGCTCTTGACGAACCCATAAAAAAAACACGTTCAACCATAAACTAAAAATCATTGCTATTGAAAGCTCGAAACGATGCTTTCCATAAACCATGAGATCCAATTAAATAATATCGAATTCCAAAACTGATACCTTGATTGTAAATCGTGCGGTAAAAACGATAGCATGAAAGCTCTTTTACTATGCAGCTATCATCATTTATTTGACATGCAATTAATTATGCGGATTCAACGACCTGCAAGTATCCACTCGCTGTGAACTGAAGAGCCACTTGACGAAATATAAAATTTCGCTTAAATGCAACATGCGCTGAAGGGGGGGCGGATAGATAAAAGGAATAGATTTTAACCGGGGAGAAATAGCTAAAAGGGGCGTCGCGCTCCTATACTTCCACGGCACCCTTACCGCAATTGTTTATTCCCCTTATCAATGAGAAAACCGAGAGGCATCGGGTCGAAACAGGTCGATAAAAATATTCACCGGTGAACTGGTTCTTCTGAACCGATTCCTTCCTCGTTTCAAGAACGTGGCACAATTAAGTAAAGAAGCTTCTTGAACGTATGCCACCGCGGCTCTCCGAGTGCTGCATCGAATCTGTCACGACGGTTCTCGATTTCTTTGTCTAAACGGCGATCCGGGACCTGAACCGATCACGTTTATCTTAAATGACAATTGAAAGAATCCGAGGAAGGGCATCCTCGTGCAGAACGAGTCTAAATCCCGTCGAGTCCACTTCAATCCTTAATTACTATCAACCGTTCTCTGATCTAAACCGATGCGATGCAATGCGCAAAGAGGCCACGTCGACGCGCACGCTACACAACCCGAAAGATCACGGATCAATGAATTAAAAAAAAAAGGTGGTCTCTGATAAAATCCACGTTGGATAAAAAAAGAGGAGACACGTCGAGACCGATCGGACCAGCGGTTAGGAGATCTGGAAACGAGTACCTGAACGAGTATCGAGCGTAGGCGTAGCAATAGCCTCTGGAGGATCTTTACCTGCTCGGTACAGACGCATAAGTCGTGATTTGTGACCGTGGCTGCAGCTGGTGGTGGTCTGGTCGTCCCTACGTCTTCCTCGAAGCTCTCGCCGGAGGCAAGGAGAGCGAGTATCGAGGAAGAGTTTGATTCCGTTCGGTAACGCTCGAGAACGGTGTCTCCCCTTTTGCTCGGAGATGTCCGCAAAGGCGATCGTTATGTCAGAACGGGTAACGTGGATACGCGTTTGGAAACGACGGATTTAAGTAGTGGACGACACGCGTGTTGGACGGGTGCTCTCTGCCGGCTAACTCTCTCTCCCCGAGTCCTCGAGTCGTGCGCGCCCGGGTCAGCGCGCGCAAGCGTCCTCCGCGAGAGGATACGGCGTATATTGATCGGACAGCGGCCCGATCCAGACGTAACGAATCCCGACGAGGAATTTCTGCTACGCGATAGGCAAGGTCAGACCTCGGCCACGAGGACCACGCGAAAAGAAGCGAACCGAACCGGACGTTGAACCACCAGGACGGACGTCCGAAACGCGTGGCGTGCCTTTCGAGATACTTCGAAGACCACGGACCAGGGCGAATCGGTGATCGTCGCGATTGCGTTTAACGCTCCTCGGGTGCGTTTAATGGCAGTGATCGAAGTGATGCAAAGAGACGTGATACGGCTCAAGTGAACGATGCGGTTTCGGTTTGTTTCATTCGGTGTCCGTATTAATCCTTTTAGTGCTGAACGACGATATATCATCGCTTATCCGAGGGCGCCTTACTATTCGCATTGCGAGAGAACTGTACCTCAAAATAAATTTATA